GTTACTAGCTGAAATGGCCGCGGCGCCTATCCATCACCACAACCGGCTCAGAACTGTCCTGGTTCCCCTGGAAGTTCTGAAATCTAAATATAAATAACTCATAACTATGACAAGCCCCCCTTTTCCGGCTCCTCCTGCCGAAAAGCAAAGGGAGCCGGAAGAGCCGACGATTCTGAGCGAGGCGTCAGCGTTGCAGGGAAACCTAAACGATAGCTGAAAATGGCAAAGCGCTGTTCGCACGGCATCAGCGACTACCGTAACATTTACAGCTTTGTTCTGAGGCAATTGAAGTGGTAGTAGTAGTATAAATAGTAGCTATTGCAAGCATATAAGTGGTGACGATACTATTGGCTGTGGTACTTGAGGTGCCTGTCAGAATGTACGACACTAAGTTTCTTCTGATTATGGAATCAATGACTTGTATTATAGCATCACGCGCCTGTTACTTTCTTTAAAGTAACTGTGGTAGATGTAAGCACTAATGTTCCTATTTAATTTAAACCGACTTCAAGCTTTGCCCATTTGATCCGAGAATTAATAGAGAATTTTTGGATTTGCCAATCCCACGAGAATGGTACTCGAGCCGAGAAAATTACGCTTTTTTTTTTTTAATTTACGAAAAGATAAAAGGCGGCGATTTTCCGATAAGGGACGTTTCGCGCGTGTATTTTCGACAGTTTCTCAACGACATTGCTCAAGTGTCCTTAGCTCGCCATGACCAACTAAAACCCACACAATCCGTAGTGATCGATGTAAAAGTGGTAGCGAATGATCTCTCAAACAAAAATAAAAACCGTTTGCTAGGCAAAATCGTCTAGATTCATCTATTTATCGTGAAAGACTTCAAACATGGCCAAAAAACAAAACAGGTTAAAAGCACCTCAATCCATATATATAGTGGTTGCTTAGTGCAATGGGTCGTGTTTGTAGAAGCATGACGTCTATATGTGCTAAAACAGTACGCAAAAGTGTCTGAAAATAGTGACATCATGTCATTCGATAATTGCTTTGCAGGTAAATTGTGCCGTGAACTAAATAGTTCCATCTATTGTTCCCTGTTCCGAAATTTCTCTAAAGATCAGGTTTAAACGAACTAGACCTCTACTGCGGGTAACGTATTTGCCTGTTAATTTTAGGGACACGTTACGGTCTAAGTTAGAACACGGGCTTAGACGCACTTTGCTGTGGGCTGGGAACCCGATTGGAACGGTAATGCCAGACGTAAAATTCGCCGCATAGAGGCCTCTACAGTGGTCATAACTTTATCATTTTAAATCCAATGAGTGTGTGTGTGTGTGTGTGGGGGGCAAGCTGAGAGCGAGTGTACACGTTTGTAGACCCTGTCATCGCTTGAGGCCGGTTATTTCCTATATGAACAATACACAGCGTCGTATTGCAACGGGGTCAAACGAAGCCCCGCTGTTTAAGTACCGGAGATAACACTCGAAGCATTTATTCATCTTTCAATAATATTCTATCATATAATACGACAAGAGAACAGTGTACTTCGGATTAGCTCTACTAATCAAATGGCAAAACCATATAGAATTGTTCGTCCGTGTTTAGGCCGCTGGGCGTGCGAGAAATTTTCCTCGAACCTACTATTCACAGGACCTTACAGCATCTGTTGACAGTAAATAATAAGCTATCATAAGTCAAAGAAAATTATTCTTGATGAACGGGAAGTCCCTGAGCTGTTTAGGGAAACATCACTATCTGCATGCGTTTTTTCCTACTGGGTACAGCATTGGCTAAAGCTAGGCATGGCCATCTGCCAGCCAATTCAGAGTCGCAAAACACCAAGCCTGACGGTGCCTTATATTATAACCTTCTCAGAGTGTAAAAGAACTGAAACGTTACAATAATCAAACATACAATAACTATATATTAAATCTAATTTAAACAACTACACAAAGCTAGTGTCGTAAGATTATTCAGAAACCAACGAAAGTAGAGACTTTCTGTAACGTCCTTTGGAAACTTTACGCTATAGTATAACAGCTTTAGTGCCTTTTGATAATAACGTCTATATTGAAGGGTAACTCACTAATCTATGTTATATAGGGAACCGAATCAAGCATTCTCTCTGCTTACTAGCTCACGGCTGATGGATAGGGGTCCCTAACATGTTTGTCATTATGCTTATAAATAAAACGAGTTAATTTCTAGCGCAGCTTAAAAAATACTCTATATATATATATATATATGCCTGCACACGCATGTCTAGGCATTGGCTAGTAAGCATCCTATTACAAGCCCCCAAAATGTGAAACCAAAACAGACTGAAACTTTTCCTGCGACGGGTAAATAGAAGGAAATAGAGTTGCTGCTGGTTGTTACCCCTTATTTGACGCTTCGTAATCATAACGACGGAAAGATGGATTCTACACCACTTACATATAATACAGAGTTAGAAGTAGTATCTTTCGTCCCACGATGTCTTCTTGGCGGAATTTCAACAGCTTGGCAACTAGAGCACCTTTGAAATTCGCACAAAGAAACCTGGGAACCCAGATAGGTTGGTTGAAAGGAAACTTGTTACCGCAAAAAAGGATGTCCTTCATAAATGAGGCCGCATCGATAAGAATTAGCAGGTCGCTTGTGAGAATATCGCCCCTTTAATCTGACCCCTGCCTGCTTTAAAAGCGTCCTGGTTAGAGATGCAGAGCGAGAGAGTGATCACGATCGGACTGTTTTTCAGAATGAGGGACTTTCAAAAAAAAGGAAACCCAGAAAGAATCAAACGTAAAAAAAAAGGGGGTAACGAAAGAACACACCCACAAAATCAATAATGAGAGGAAAAAAGCCTACGTAACTTTCAGTCTTGAAACTTTCTGAACACACGAAACACTGGTGGCAGGCGGGCAGTTTACTGACTGGATAGGTTAGGAAAAAGGTTCAACAGGTCTCGTCAACGACTAAAATACCTGATAGCAGATGATTTTTGCAAAACAGCAGCAGCAGAACGGTGCTACAGGAGTGAACCGCTGAGTTATTGCTGTTGGTGTATCTGCTTGACTGCAGACGTCTTCTCTTTCGTCGTAATGATAATGAGGACCTGGACTGACGACAGGTAAAATTGAGAATGATAAACGACAAAGGCGACATATCAGTGGAAGCGCGGTAGCTTCACGACAAAGGGGGGGGGGAGGGGCAAGGCGGCGTTCGACTGTCTCCGCTGCCTCCCCTGTTTCTGCCACCAACTTTGCGCAGTCATTTTTGCCATTTTCCTTTGGCCCCTTTGTTGTCGGCAACTTCTATCCAGATCGACATTTGCCGAATGCTATCGAATATGGCGCTGCTTTAGCTCATAATAACAGCTTATAGCGCACGATCGCGAATTGTCTTTGAGCCTGTCTTTAAGGTATATGCTGTACGTCAAAACTAATCATCAACAATCGATTCAGTCCATATTCGACGTAGACATTTGCAAAGGTACACACAGAATGTGGGTTATAGTCAGTGAGCTGTGCAAGGCCTTAGACAACCTATTGGTTCCCTCAGATCGAAAAATCATTAAATTCTTATACTGATTCCTAGTACCTCACACGTAAACGGCTTAGTACGATTCGAGGACTGTATATAATTCACTATCCGATGTTTAACTAAATCGCTTACTGAGCGCACGTTTATTTTTTCTTTATCATCACCAATGGAGTCACATATCGCTCACTGTCACTTCATTTGTTCGTATTGGACAACATATAATACTACGCTTCCTCCAGATTGTTGCGGAATCTGCGAGTCTGAGTGAAAACTTATTTTAAACGCACCGGAACATCCCGCGTCTCGATAGTCCCAAGTGGACCGAGTACTACGTCATTACTCAATGAATAACTTTTGTTTGTATGCTCTCTGGAACCGGTAATCATTATTGATAATGAGGGAAGTTGCATACGGTTTGTTTGGCAAGTCTTCAGTCACGATTATTACCTTCAGATTTCATCGTAACAAATAAGCCCTTTCAGTAAATAGCCGTGAATGCCTCGAACTAAACCTCATCAGTTACTAAAATGAAAAGAAAATCAGAGAGTTGTTTCTTGTTTTAACGATGAGTGTTATTGTTGACAACGATTCATAGAACGGCACAGAAAACCATAACATTTTCCAACAAGGTTCTTATATTTTTAGCAGGTAATATTAGCCGAATAGAAATGACGCTAAATTGTAGTTGACCGCCCTGGGTTTAATATGCTTCGCTATGCTGCATAAGAGCCATGAACTTTATTCTCCACTAAGATATGAGCAGTGTTTGCTAATAAACAATAATAATCTTCTTTCTACCAAAATAAGCATAAAAATGCGTCACCACAACAACAATAATAGCGCAGATCTAGTAGTTCGAAGATAGACAATTAAAAATTCAAATATTCAACATTTGGACATTCCGGCCCGTGCCGTTCGGTTGGCGTTAAAAGGTTGACTGGATATTGGACTTCTGATTGAACAGGTCTACCTATCCAGGCGCGACTGACAATAATATTACTCCACGGGTCCACCCACCCCCCGTCCCGTCTCCAGAATGAGAGATTTAAGGACAACTCGTCGCCTGGGATAAATCTATCTTTGGGTTTTGGCTAAATGAGTTCACGATGTCGCTCCTCTCGGTAACTCCGCGAAGCCATTACTGTTCCCGGCGCAGTTTTTCTGCCACTAGGCGCAGATGTCTTTTCGAACTTAGTTGCTGCTGGTAGCGGCACCTGTTGTTTGTCATGTTAGTAATTTCTTACAGCTGTTGTTTATATTTGGCTACATTTTTTCCGTCGTTTTTATTTGCTTTACTATTATACCAGTTAAAACGAACTTGCCGCATATGCTGTCTCTACGGATTCTTTGAGGTTTAATTTATATTGAGAAATAAAAAAAAATGCATGTCTATTATTTTAAATTGCGCACTCCATTCTGTGGTCTAAATATGACAAGGCTCTTGACATTATAGCAGCAACTAATTATAGTTACTAACTAACTTTTGCATATGTCTGTTAACTTCCTATGCATAGGGTGCGGCGGGCGAACTCCGGTGAAACGTTCCGATTCTCGGAACGACAGAGTCCCGACAGTCCGCACCGATTTGTCTTCCACAAGGATACGTTTGCGACTGCCTATCTACTTCGTAAGAATAGCGACGGCCGAAGATCGGCATCTCCACCGAGAACGCCGGTTTACGAAGACGTTGAAAACAAAAGCAGAAGTAACAGCGCCAATATTTGCATTATGGCAGATCACTCTCAACAACAGGGTGGTCACCCGACTAGCAATATCTACGGGTTGCCCGATGAGGGCCACAGTCTGGGGATGTTCAGCAGTCAGGGAAGCTTAAATGCTGGTATATCAAGTCCATCGCCGCCAAGTTGCTCGCCGAGTCCCTCTCCACGGCCCCAAAGCCCTCAGCAGCAACTTGGTAAAATACTAGGACCGGGTCAAAGCTATGTGCGAGTGCACCCCACTGTGAGGTTAGAACTCGAGGATAAACCGGGAAACAAGGAGGTGAGTTGTTATATACATTCATACTAATATCATAATTATGATGAGCTATCGTTATATGCAAGTAAGGTTATGTGAGACATAAGGTTAATAAACACCTGAGCGTAAAGCAACGGACTGAGCTTGAATGAGCTCCGATGTGTCGCAACTTGAGGTACGTTGGCATCGATACTAAGCTGTCTGTATTCATATTACGTAAAGACATTATTAAGCGAGGCAACATTCAAAGCATTCGTTCACACGTTAAAGCGCAAGATGACCAAGTTCAACTGAGACAAGTTTATGAGCTTTCAGCTAGAAGATGTCTCTGTCCCTTCTGTGTTACGCTGGTTTGAGGAAGGGACATTGGTCTCTTGGCTTGTTGTTGAACTGCTATTCCAAATGTGAAACACTCTAAAACCTTCTAGTCCATTGGAGGTAATTTGGACGAAAACGGCTGAAATAGCTTTTTCGAGCAAAAAAAAACCTACAACCTACGAACACAAATATATTTGCTTTCCATGACCGGAACGGGTCGCTCATTGCACTGACACATGAAGGAGCCGCTTACCTCTACCATATAGACCTACAGATTCGTCCTTCTGTAGAAAAGTGACTAGATCGCTGATTTTCTTGGCAAGATGACAGAGACATCTTGTTGACGAATCGGTGTCACTATATTGGAGTTTGACTAAAATGACAAACTAGGGCCTTTGTCACCAATTTATGGGCGACCAGAATATCGTTTACCTAATTTGTTCTCTCGTGATAATACTTCTGTCTCAAGGAAAAGATTGACATTAGTTGACTTTTGGCAAACCGTTGAATAAACGGATTCATACTGTCGGGTGGCGATGATAGGCTGTCGGCTTTCTAAATACAACTTAACGAAGGTGGCAATTGGTCCGCATAGGTACGGAAACTACATTAAGCTGAAATTCCCAAATCAACTAGTTGGTGTGTTAAAATATCTCTGAAAACTTTGTATAGCTCTTCCAATGATATTATGATTTTAAGAGTCTTTTTTTGCCACCAAGCTAAGCGACACCTGTAACGAAGTGCTTAAGAATCTTTTAAACTACAGACCTTCGTCGTTACATGTAGTATATATAAAAAGCATTTAATAGTAATATATATTAAGCATTATGTTTCGTATTACTAGAACTTGAGTGCAAAGGCATTGCTTCAAGGAAACAATGGTAAAAACTGCACAAATATAGGCTCACCGACGCAGCGGATTCAGCCTAGGTCTAATGTGGTCGTACCAGTTCCCCCAATCAAGACAGTGGTGGTGTACTAGAGTGTTTTTGTGAAATCTGGCGTCAAGTCAAAGACGACAACCTTTCACGTTTTCTTAGATAAATATTATATAAATATAATCTTCTGTAAGACGCTTGCTTGCCATAGTAACAGTATTTATTATTAAACTAAGGTTCGAGCTGAACGCTTGTGGTGAGCTGTTCACCATTATATGACACGAAAGACACCACAGCGCGATATATGAATGCCGTTTTGCCTAGCACCAATTTCGGTCATTGGAATACATTCAGGGGGAACATATGAGCTGACCTTCTGGCGCTCACAGAACGCCCCTTAAGTTGAACTCAAGAGAAGTAGCAACAGAAGTAGCGACAGATGGTACATGTGTTCATTTGGCCCAATAGCATCGCTGCACGTACGTGTATGCCGCCGAATGGTTCTGCTTAAGAAGCTACAAGTCTTCCAGTTATTTGGAAGACAATTCGATGAAGAGCGATAGAAAAATGCAAGCAAACCTCTTTGACAGATTGTATCGCAAATCGTTTCTCTAGTTATAGTGAGGTGACTCGCATGATGACAATTCCTTTACCTGTGCCGCTAAAGTGATACTATTATTATAATTATATTATCAATTAGATATAATGCTAATGAGGCTATTAGATATAATGCAAAATGAAGATATTCAATCAAGAACGCGTGTGCTATCAAACCATTGAAGAGTATCTTGATCAAGTGACATGAATACGCCTTCAAATGACAAAAGTAGAAGCAAAGGTACTTTATCTTTTTCTTTTTTAACCTCTACTGTTTCTATCTGATAGGGCATCCGCTTAAGAGCAGTCGATCATCAATAGCTTATTGTCAGTGCGTGGTACTTAATTGATTTCTAGCAGTTATACAATTGTTATAACAAGTTCAAACTATCATATACCCCGGGTGTAGTCTCCAATCCCACCACCAGCTAACGAAGCATTCCGATACATCTTCACTGTTGCCTCTTAGTTTTAAACAGCGAATACGTGCATGCATCGCTTAGGATACGACATTTTTTGCACTCGCTTTCCTCTATAGTATCACTTTTTTACTCGTAAAAGAGTAAAGATATTGATGCCGCGGTTGATACTACCATGTTGCAAACAGCAGGAACTTAAACATGCGATTAGTGCCTGTTGCAGTCGGAAAGGGCCAAATGGTCAGATGTCCTAAAATAGAATCTATCAGACGAAACAGAGAAAGAGAGGATACGTCGTAGATGCTGTGGTCAACAGCGATAACGTTGTGGTCTATTTTTGGCGTCATTGATTACGACCATAATCTTGATTCAGGTAATGCCATCTAGATAGAAAATTCGTTATTTCAACATAATCAAGCTTCACACCCAATGTTGTTGCCGGTGCTACACGTTGGCAGTTGACAACCCGTGGCCGGGGGGCACGACAGCCAGGTGTCTGCCGCCATCATCAGCTGTTCCAATAAAAGGGAAATCATGGGGGGAGGAACAGGCCATATATCGTTACGGTGAACGGCCGCTTGCGTCAAACATTGATTCGCGAAAGGCCTACCGACTTAAAGTGTATATACGCCGATCTTAACTGTACATATACACTTACTGTAGATGCTATTTGGTATTGCGCTAACCTGATGGGCGAGTGAAGCTTTTCAAGCCTGCAAAAAGCTACTCTAAAAATTAGTTCGACACACCTTATGTGACCATCAACTTATGATTAAAGGCAGTTAGACTCTTAAGTTGTAAAATGTTCGTTAGTTAGTAAAGTATGCATAAAAATTGACAAGGGAAGTTCTTCTCGAACCGTAATGGCAATATTTCATGCTCCGAAAGCAATTTAACCGTATCTAGCACTAGAAAAACAAAAAAAAAAATAGAAAACCAGTGAAATTTTATAAAACAAATGTTGCCGTGCAGATTCCTGGTAGTTAAACAAAAAAGAACATATATATATATACATAGGTATATATATCTTAGTAGCTATTGGAAATCTGTTCTACGTTTGCACTCCTTGTTTAAGACATGTAGGAGTACGCATAAAATGACAGAGCTCAGACTGTGCCTGGGTAGCAATAAGCGAATATAACCAAATGTCAAGGTGATCACGTCGAATATGCATGTACGTACAATGCGATTGGAACGGATTCTTGGCGGTTCTTTCCTCGAGAGTACAACTGTATACTTACTTTTTGACTTTAGATATTCTATGCGGAGACGAGAAACCTATTTCGTTTGCCAACGGCAACGGTACGAAGTCATCTGAGTGATTTGACGTGTCCCACACAGATTTTGCAGAGCCAGATGATAACCTATCGTCTGTCTTTTACGGGGTATTAATCACTAAGTCGAGGCAATTATCGAGTCAATGGCAACTAATAATACCCCATGTATATAGAGCTTGTATATAACGGCTATAAGTAAAACTGGAGACCCAAAAGATGAAAAAAAAATCCCTCGATTAAGCCGTTATGGTTTTCCAGATGTGTCTTTCTAAAAGTAGTTGTGACTATAAAACCTTTTATATCTACATTCGAATTTAGGTACCGTACGAACTCCGTTATGTCGGACGAATAAGCGGCCGCTGATTTGGCTGGGAGAGGTCTTTGCAAGTGAGATTATCCCAAATGAGTCGTCCAGTTCGATGCATACGTATATAAAATATGTGTATAAAGCGCATTTGAACTGAGCATCATTTATCCCTAGTCGATTGCTGTATGGATGCTCTTATTACGTTTCACACTATAAATTATGAGTGTACACTTTATTATGCGATAGTCAGTGGAACATTCGAGATAGCAGATTCTGAAGGTGAATTCGTGTGTTATAATACCTCGGTGATCACTTGAGGTACACACATTCGAGGTAATAGCCAATCGTAGCTATTTGCAGTGCTTTGCTTATAGTTACTGTTGAGCCGTAGGCGGCATCTCTGCTGCCTTTTCGAAACGCGTCTTTCATAGACAGTTTCGAGAAGATTGTCACGCTTCTACTTATTACTTTTCATCACTCTCACAAATTATATTGAAATACATATCTTAGAAGGAGGGATGATCATTGTTTGCCACTTTGTTTTAATCGGTTACAACGTTCAGCTTGATGCATCACTGGTGAATTTCAGGTTTTTCCTCTATTCATATATTTTTCCAGAACTGCGGCCCTTTAAAATAATTTCGTTTCACCATTGAACATAGCTTCATTTTTTTTGTTTACAACAACGCAATATATATATATATATATATATATATATATATATATATATATATATATATATAGAGGAACGTAGTTATGTGGATTACAATTTGCTAAACGCTACCGTTCAAAACAAACGGCAGTGAAAAAGATCACAATTTATTGACAACTCTTCTATTATGTGCTCTATATGAGCTCGCCGCAGTCAATTCATTTTGAAGAAAATATCAATTGAAAGCATACCTACGTCGTAAGCCAACATAATCTCACAAGACAGCTATATGTACCGTAAGAGACAGGCTGAACGGATGAAATCACTACTGATTTCATGTGAGGAAATGAGTTATTAAAGAAAGCCAAAAGGAAAATGTCTTCTGTCCGAGAAAGGCGAGGAAATACGGTGCTTCAAAATGATTCACCGCCAAGTTAGACAGGTCAATGATTATGATTTGTCTACTGTAAATTTGTATGAAGTTCTTTCGTGTTAAACGGCTCAAGTACGGGCACATTCGTCTTGTTCGAGCAGGGAAAAGGAACAGTAGCAGACGGCGCACCATTTCCCAGAACC